ACAAATGTAAAGACTTATGCTTGCTTAAAGACCAATTAAAAAAGGAAATTTTGAATCTAAAAATGGAGGAGGCCTCGTATGCAGGTATTTGTTCAGATAATTTGTTGCTTCTATGTGGTAAAGTTCATGAGTTCAACATTACTCTAAGAAGATTATCAACTTGGTGGAACCAAAGGGCTAAGGTGAGATGGGTTGAAGAAGGAGATACAAACTCTAGGTTCTTCCATAAGTTTGCCTCGGCTAGAAGGAATGGGAATATGATAAGACAAATAAAAGATGAGAACAATAATGTGCTTGAATAGATTGAACAAATTGAAGAAGTTTTGTTGAAATTCTTCAATAACAAGTGGAAAGCCAGTAATTGTAATATTGAGGAGTGGCCTTCACTATCAGAAAATCAAAAATTAAAGTTCAGACATTTGGAAACGCTCAGGGCTAATTTCATTGAAGAGGAGTTTAAAAATTCTATTTTCCAACAAGGAAACAATAATTTTTCGGGCAATGATGGTGTGACTTCTTCCTTCTTTAAGTTCTATTGGAATATTGTTAAGGAAGTTACTTAGATAGCTGTTAAGGAGTTTTTTAAGACTGGGGTGATGCATAAGGAATGGAAAGACACTTTAATTGTGTTAATTATGAAGGTAAAGAAACCTATCTTGCCATCCAATTATAGACCAATAAATCTATGTCAAACCACATATAAGATAGTTGCAACTATGATGGTTAATAGAATCAAATTCTGCATTTCAAACATCATTTCGGAAGAAAAAATGGCATTCATTCCTGGTAGAATCATGTCGAAACATTACCTATTAGCTCAAGAGATATTCAATAAATTTAGAATATCTAAAAACAAGAATGGATTGATGGCAATCAAATTGGATATGGAACAGGCATATGATAGCATGGGATGGACAACACTTCAACATATTCTCAAATGTTATGGGTTTCCATCCAAGTTCTTGGAACTAATTTTGGAATGTGTAACTATTGCAAGGTTATCTATTATATTGAACAGAAGGAACACAAGATGGATAAATGCTGAATGTGGGTTTTGGAAGGGGTGTCCACTATCAACTTACTTGTTTATCATGTGTTCTCATCTCTTATCAAGTGTAATTAAATAAAGAGAAAATGAATTGGGTATTCAAGTGTCTACTAGAAGTGAGAAGATTACCCATCTACTATATGCCAATGATGTGCTTCTCTTTTCTTATGCAAAACGTAATTTAGCTGGAGTAATAAAGACAATCATTGCAAATTTTTATAGATGGACAGGGCTTCAGGTTAACATCAACAAATCCCAAATTATATTTGGTAAGTTTGTCAAATGAACGGTTAAACATAAACTTTCTAGAAGACTTGGGTATAAAGTAGTGAAGGAATGAAATACTTGGGAATCAAAATCATTATGAGAAGGATGGGTTTGGATGATTTGCAAGATTTGTTGAATTATGTCTTAGATAAACTGAATGCTTGGGGAAGTAAATCCTTATCCATGGGAGTTAGAATAATATTGGTAAAATCATCCTTGTTATCATTGCCAAATTATTTGATTACTCATTCTTTAGTTCCAAAGAAGTTACTGTATGAATGGGACAAATTAAGCAGAAATTTCATTTGGCACAAACCAAATGGGAGAAGACGTCTACACTAAGTAGCCTGGGAGGAAATCTGCAAATCGAAAAATGTAGGGGGATTGGGAATTCATTATGTAATCCAAAGAACAGATCCACTTAGAGCAAGGTTGACATGGAATGAAATAAATAATCCTAATTCTTTATTATATAGGAATTTTTTCTTGACATATGGTGACAAAATTCTAAATGGGGAATACTACAAGAATGCTTCTAGTACTTGGCAGATTCTTATAGATGGAGTTAAAGATGTTAATCCAATTATCAAATGGAAAGTGTGTGATGGAAGGAAAATCAACATTTTGAATGACATATGACTACTTGACAAGTGCTTAAACATATGGCCAACATTTGCTAATTGTGGAGAATTGGATGGAATAATGCTCCATCCTTTTATAAATTTGGATGGGAGCTGGAATGAGAAGGAATTAAAACATTTTTTTCATCAGGAAATTATCAAGTTAATATTGCATATTCATGTTTACTCCTGTTGTGAGAATGATAGAATGAAAGCTATGTTTCAACACTCGGGCAAATCAATTACTGCTTTAACTTATGAAAAACTAATGGAATATAATATCAATGATGATGACTATAGCTATTATGAATGGATTAGGAAACTTAAACTTAATCCAAGAGTAGAGCTATTTCGGTGGAGATTGAGCAAAAACGCAATAACTACAAATCAATTTCTCAATTACAGAAGGCTAAGCAATGATGATTTATGTGTTAGAGGATATGAGGAGATTGAAAGCTATTCTTTTTTTTTTTTTTAAAGAATTGCATCAAATGGCATTAAAACCAAATAGCTAAATACAAGTAATAAAAGGATCACATTCCTCCTTGATTAAGTCCAACAACAAGGAAGGAATGTTCTCAAAAGAAAAACTATCAAAAAAGAAACTATTTTCCAATGCCAAAGTAGCGCAACAATTAGCAAATTTATTACAACATCTATAGGCATGATGGAAAACAACTTTATTAAAGTCATTTAAGAAACAAAAGTCCTTTGTCGGCACCTATCCACATGCCGGTTAATCTTCTTCAAAGAGACTTGAATGAATTTGATAATATTGATATTATCACTCTCAATGATCACCCCCTTGCATTCCAACATCCAACTCCTAAGGAACTCCCTCACCGTGAGAACAGCTTCCAACTCAAGCTGAGCAATATCCCAATGAGTCTTATATATTCTTCCCAAATGCACTGATAAGCCGGCCTTTGGGGTCTCTAAAAACACCACCAATACCAGCAAGATTGGAACTAAGCAAAGAGGCATCCACGTTAATCTTAATCCAATCCTTCGGTGGAGGGCACCAAGTATTTTGAGACTCCCTAAGGAGATTAGTACCCCAGCTAGAAAGATATGGACTAGATTTGGACAAGGCTAAGAACAAAGCATTAGAAGCAACCATAGAACATGGCATAGCATCCTTTCCATTCTTCACATCATTTCTATTCTCCCAAGAAAGATACACTATGGTGCAGTAAACTTTGACAATTCCAGAATTACAGCTTGATAACTTCTTTAACTCCTGTAAACAGCAATCCAGAGAACTGAAAATAGGGATTAAAATACCCTATTCACACATCTTCATAAGGACTTCCACCATATATTTACATTGAACCATGATATGCTCATACGTTTCATCCACTTGGCAGCCTCTAGCACATAGAGCATTCTCAGAAATTCTACGATTCTTAAGAAACAGGTTAGTAGGAATAGCTGTTTTACCGAGCCTCCACCAAAAGATTTCTACCTTCTTATTGAGTTTAAGTTTCTGCACCCAGCTATAAAACTCAAACACCTTCCAAAGTACATCTGTTGAACAACAATTGTTCATATACCAAGGCAGAAACTGTTTTACCCGAACACATTTTCAGCAGCTCCAACCGATCCTCCTCCTCATACTCAATTTGTATTTGACTAATCAATAAGATTAGATCAGGATGAAAGGCCCTTTGTAACATGGTAAGATTCCACTCACCATTATTTAACAAAAGCTGTTGTATATAGATACCATCCAGCACATTACAATCAACATACGTTGGCCACCGGTTGATGCTTTTATCAAGCAACCAAGCATCATTCAAGACATTTATCTTGTCACCCTTTCCCATCTTCCATCTAACAGCAAATTTCAAATGTTTTCCATCCAACATAATTTTCCAAGCACTAGAAGTAACCTTCTTTTGGGCACCATTCATAACATCACTACCATATTTAGCATTCATTGTTCGATGGAACAATGAATTCTGCTTCTGAATATAATTCCATGCCAATTTAGAATGTAAAGAGCCAATTCTAAATAAAGGAGAGTGCAAACCCAACCCTCCCATACTTCTTGGTTTGCAAATATCTCCCCAAACAATGTAATGCATACCATTGGTCCCATCATTTTTATGCCACATGAAACTTGTACATAATTTTTCCAACTCATGTAATACCCTTTTTGGAACCAAAGAATGAGTAATTAAGAAATTTGGCATAGAGAGCAAAGAGCTTTCAATGAGAGTGAGCATACCTCTCATTGACAAAGACTTCTTACCCCAAGAGTTGAGTCTATCCATGACATTACTCATAAGCTCTTGAAAGTCAGCCACCTTGAGTCTACTAAGGGAAATCTTCACACCCAAGTACTTCATCTCCTTGACCACTTTGAAGCCGAGTAATCTAGCAATCTTCTTCTTCATAGAGTAACTAACCACCTTGCCAAACAACATCTGTGATTTGCTGACATTAACTCTTTGCCCTGTCCACTTACAGAAATCCTCCACTATGATCTTTAATGCATTAGCTAAAGCAATGGAAGCATGAGAAAAAATCAACACATCATCTGCATAAAGGAGATGTGTGATCTTTGGGCCTTTAGGGGAAATATGAATGCCAAGAGTCTGTCCCCTTTGTTCAAGTGAGTTGGACATAAGTTGAGAACATAAAATGAAGAGATAAGGAGAAAGTGGACACCCTTGACAGAATCCACTTTGAGCATTAATCCAATTGGAATTCCTTCCATTGATGATAATAGAAAACCTCACATCTACAACACATTCCATAAGGAAGTTAGAGAAATCAGAAGGAAAACCATACCAATTAAGAATCTGACGAAGAGTTGTCCATCCCATGCTATCGTAAGCTTGCTCCATATCCAATTTTAAAGCCATCAACCCCTTCTTATTCTTACAGATTTTGAACTTGTGAATGATTTCCTGAGCCAAAAGGCAATGCTCTGAAATGGATCTTCCAGGAATGAACGCTACTTTCTCTTCATAAACCATCTTGGAAATAACCTTCTTCAATCTGTTAACTAACATGGTAGCCACAATCTTGTAATTAGTCTGACATAGGCTAATAGGCCTCTAGTTAGATGGAATCAAAGGGTACTTTACTTTAGAGATGAAGACTATTAAAGTATCCTTCCACTCCTTAGTCATATGGCTGGACTTGAAAAAATAATTGACAGCACTCCAAAGAGTCTCCCAAACAATACTCCAATAACTCTTGTAAAAAGAAGAAGTAACTCCATCAATACCTGGTGCCTTGTTCTGCAGCTCATTCACTGAAAAATCCTCATTAAGCAAAGCCATTTCCTCATCTGTAGTCTTCTGGTTTTCAGAAACCAACAGCCAACCCGTCGGCTCACATTGTTTGTATTTCCACTTCTTTTCAAAAAATTGTGTGAATAACTTCTCAATTTGATCATCCTCATCATGCAATTTATTAAACTCATATTTTATTTGATTAATCTGGTTTCCATTTCTTCTTTCTGAGGCAAAATTGTGAAAAAGCCTTGAATTTGTATCTCCTTCCACATGCCACCTTGCTTTTGCCCTTTGATTCCACCAAGTAGACAATCTTCTCAAAGTAACATTAAGGTCATGAACTTTGTTTCTCAGCATAAAAAGGTCTTCAACTGACCAATTATCACCCAAAGCTTCCTTTTTTTGAAGTTCTAGAATTTCCTTTCACAACTTTTCCTTCAGCACATTCAAATCTTTGCACTTATTTTTATTCCAAAATAATAATGCCTTTAAGGTTCAGCTAAGCTTGCTTTGCAAGATCATATACTCATCACCAAAGTCATTCTTCTTCCAAGAATGATATACAACACTCTTAGCTGTTGGGTATGATCTCCAAGTATCCTCAAAATTAATGGTTTTTGCCTTGAACTGCAACCTATCACCCATATTAAGAACAATAGGACTATGGTCGGATGCCACTCTAGCAAGATGCTTGATATTAGCAACTGGAAGCTTCTGAATAGCAGCCAAATTTAACATACATCTTTCAAACATTTCCCAAATCCGAGAGGCTCCCTCTTTGTTGTTACACCAAGTAAACCTTGGTCCAACACTTCCAATATCATGAAAATCTGAATTCATCATAAAGCACTTCATCTCCCTATGTCCTTTAGAAAACAAGAACCTCTTGCCTTCTATCTTCTCCTCCATATTTATGATACAATTAAAACCCCCTACAATATTGGAAGGAATTGAGTCCTCCATACAATCCTGTAGTTGACTCCAAAGACTTCCCCTCTCCTTACAACATCTACTCCCATACACAGTGGCAACTTTCCAAGTTCCCAAGTTAGGAACCGATAGATCACCAACAATAGCTTGTGAAGACGTCTCCTTAACATCAAAAGACACCAACCTCCTATATCATAACACCAAAATACCTCCAGAGGTACCAACAGTAGGGTAATGAAAATACTCCCATTCATTCCCAATAAGATAATCAACCTCCCTTCTGTCATTGCTAGACAACTTGGTCTCCATGAGCCCAATAAAGAATACACCCTGATCTCTAACAATATCCTTCAAGTATAAGGAAGCCTCTTTTTTCCTTGCCCCCCTACAATTCCAGAATAAAATGGATGACATTTAAACTAGTACAGAAGATCTTTCCCCACTGTTGGGGTTCAACATACCATCCCTCTTCTTCTTTTCATAACCAGGTTCAACTGGCCCTAAAGACCTCAGTTCTTTGGCTAGCTTAACCTTGGCAGCCCCACTATAAAAACCCACACCAATGTGACTGACATATGGATCAGCTGTGTCCAATCACCTGTCAATTATTTTACCAATTCCTTCATGACTTCCAACATATTCTTCTTCATTACTATCAATCAAAGCATCAAACCTATTAGTTAAATGAATTTCTAACTTCTTACCCCCAGCAGCTTCCTCAGTTTCTGAAAACTTTCTTGGAGCCAAGGCAGTTTTTCAACAGCAGCAGCCTCCTATTCCAACAACTGGACTTCCTTCTGTACAGTAACCCTCTTATTAGTATTTCCCCTGCTATCATTGTTATTTCCATTGGCATTCACTCCTTTTCCAATACCATTGTCTCTGTTAAATCTTCTGTTCTTGAAATGAACATGAATCCATAGACCATATTCGGAACTGATTACAGATGACTTACTATCAGGCACAACCTTCTTAATTATTACATCTACTGCATCCGTCTTTATTAATGCTTGATCCTGTTTCCCAATAGTTACATTCTCCGAACAAATCTTTCTGTCATGACCTACTCTACCACACTGATAACAGAGAAGATCAAATTTCTCATACTCCACCCATTGGAAGAATCTCCCAACTGAGCCATCCACCCAAACACCATTCAGTAACATTTTCTCCAAATCTATCCTCACACATACACGAGTAAACTCCCGTTTACCATAGCTAAAGGTATTGCCAACAATGTACATTGGCGACCCAAAGCAAGAAGCAATCCTTGCTATATTATCCTCATCCCATCAATACAGAGGCAAGCATGGGAATCTAATTCAAACAGGAGTAGAAACTCCTTTAAATGAATTCAGATCAAAAGCAGAGGACCATCTATCCATACCGATAATGAACCCGTGCACATACCAAGGACCACCATTCAGGATTTCTTCTACCACCTCGCTCGTCTTAAATGAACACAAAATCCAATTCATACCAATTGATGTCAAGTGAAATCCGCCATATTTGCTCCATTTCCTTCTCAGTTCTACTCTGCAAACCAAAAAAAGCACATTGTTACCCAGAACTTTAATCACTATCGAATTCTTCAATATTTGAGAATTCTTTGCCTCCATATCTGCATTTAACCTGACAGCTATACCATCCTCAAAAAATTCAACTTAGTCCCCATTAAACGATATCTTAATTGGCTTCGGCTTCGACCAGGCTTCAGTAACCTCACCCAAACCCTCCTGTTTGGAGCTATCAATCGTCTTGGTCTTCTGAATTCCAGTACTCATCATATCCTTCAAACAATCCTTAACAGAATCCAAATTTTCATCCACCATCTGAACCTCCACCGATTCAATTTGTTTTCAATATTACGCCCCTTATGCGCATCAAGAACTCCAGAAAACCTATTCACCCGTAGAATTAAATCATCCGAAGCTGAAGATTCAAGAATTGACAAACCTGGATTTCTCTTCACATCCATATTCTTCTTCCCAACCTTATCTTCCACCATAACATTCTTCCCCTTGCCCTCAACAAGAACTTGATGGCTCGGAGGTCTTTCTCCTTCTCTAATCAAAATGCCATTCGACACTCTACCATTGGTATGTAGTGATCCATAGGGTCGCGGAGCATTTATGACACTGACAAAGCAACACCGGCGATCATCCGACACCTCCACCACCGAACGCAGGAAGCCCGCGCAAAACCAAATTCGAACCAGGCGGCGAAATTTCTCTCTCTAAAATTCCAGACGTTCTCTCTCTAGGATAAAATTTTTCAAAATTTCCTTTACTTACGATTGAAAGCTATTCACATATTGTTGTTCATTGCAAATTTCTAAAATAAGTTATTCTTAAGCTTAGAGATTGGGGCTTTTATATTCCAATGTTTATCTCATTGGAAAATTATTTGATTGAATTAAGAAGCTTGTCCTCTAAACATATAAGTGTTACCAAGATGTATTGTATAGCAATTTTTTTTTTATCTTGGAAGAACAGGAATGAGGTAAAACATGGAAAATCTGCAATGTCTTCTTCAATGATTGCAGCAATGTATTGTCAATTGCCATGATCTTATCTAATCCAATTCTAGATAACTAGGGTGTTAATCTCCTAAGGGAGTCCCATGAAACTTGGCACCCTCCACCTCTAGATTGGATAAAAATCAATGTTGAAGATTCTATCTTAAGTTCAAATCAAGCTGGAATTGGAGGAATATTTAGAGATCATAAAGGAAGGCTGATTATTGCATTCAGGAAAAGTAGAGTTCATTGGGATGTGGCATAGCTGGAGATGGAGGCGGTAATAGAAATAAGGGAGTACATACAAAGTTCGATGATGGAGAGCAAAGTGGTTATCGTTAAAGGTGATAATCTTAACATCATCAAATTCATTCAAGAATCAATGAATAAGTCCAAATGGCAATTGGATAATTGGGTGGAAATGGAGCTATTCTTTCTAAATGACTTCAATAAGGTAATTTTTCAACATGTTAATAGAAGTTGTAATAAAGTAGCTGATTTATATGCTACTCTTGCTTTAGAAAATAGCTTTATTTTTCATAGATTTTCTTTTTGCAACATTCCTCCTTCATTGTTTAGATTGTTAAAGGAGAAATGTGATCCATTTAGTACTTATACGTAGTTTATATTTGATAATGTAATTTGAATTTTTAAAAAAAAAAAAAGAAAAGAAAACCAAGATCCTCCTCTTAGTAGCTCCCATTTCACCAAACACTTTGAAGAAAAGAAATAACATTTGAATTATCACCTTTAATGATGATACCTTTGTACTTGAACATCTAATCATCACATCCTTCAAAGATTGAATTGCTAGAAGCTCCAATTGTGCTATGTCCCAATGAACACAAGATTTTACAAATGCCAAGAGGAATCTGCCTTTACAATCCCGAAAGACCCCATCAATACCTGTTGTATATGAAGACAATAGAGATGCATCTACATTGACCTTTAGCCATTTGGGTGGAGGAGGATGCCAAATATTGGACAGTCTGTATGACTAGTTAGCATCTCAGTGGCCCAATTTGAAATGTCTTAAGCTATAGGAAGCCGGGGTGTACAATATAGCATTGGAAGCAATGAAAGGGCTATCTTCCACACCTTCATGAATACATTTATTCCTAGCTTTCCAAGATAAGAAGACTACATTACAATAAAGATTAAGGATCATCCCATCCTTAAGAGAAAGAAAGTCCAGCCTTCTAAGACATTCTTCAAATCTATCAAACATAGGAATTCCAAGTCCCCAGTGGTTTAAGTGATGAATTACCTCCTTAAGCTTAAGACATTTGCAAGCAATATGCTTGACATCTTCAATCTCATTACAGCCTCTAGGAAAATTACCACTATCCAATAATATTCAATAACATAAAAATTGAAGTGATGGAATTGCATTTCTACTTAGTCTCCACCAAAAAACATCAACCCGAGGACTTAACTTTGCTTTTTTGATCCACTTCCAATGCTAAAACTCATAGCTCTCCTGCATCGATGCTCTAAAAGACAATCCAGTGATAAAAATCCTTGATTTTTGTTGTAGCAGCTCCATTTGATCCTCCTCCCCATCTGGTACAATTTTCACCTACTTAATAAGTTTAACCAACTCCCTACGAAAATATTTCAGCAACACCTGCTCATTCCAATAGCCATCTACTATAAATTCCTTGATTAAGACAACATCATCCTCCTGTGGAACAACAAACACAGACCACAATTTGATACATTTATCCATTATCCAGGTGTCTTTGAAGGCATCCACCGATCCTCCATCAACCACTGTCCATCTTACAATTCGTTTCAGCATTCTACCACCATCATTCAATAATTTCCATGTAGAAGAATAGCATTTACTTATATTTCCCATATGAAGTTGATCACCATATTTAGAAGCCAATACCTTACGTAAAAGTGA